TTGGAAATATCGTCCTACGACGATATATTTTTAATTTCAAGAGCAGTTCGTAACTCTCAAAGGTGGTTATTTATTATAGCGTAAGCAAAACAAATCATTGAACCAACTTTTGTACGTCATCTTCTTAAATCAAAGAGTAATGGTCCGTTAAGTCTGATTAGAGAGATTGCAAGGATGGTAAGTATTAACTAGTGGTTTGATGTGTGCCCAGACGTTTAAAATGTTTAGTGTTTCAGGTTATAGGTAATGTTTATAAGAACATGCAGAACACAAGGGGCTTTTAGCTAAATATACTTTCATTTTATTTAGTGACACGTATTGTGCAGTTTCCGATGTCGAGTTTTCTATTATTAGACATTCACTATTCACGCCATGAGTTACCCCCCCCCGTAATTCATTAATGTTCGCATATTCTTGTCATAAGTAAGTGTTTTGTCACCATTGGCAAAGAGAAACGATGTCACTTCTTGTGCTTTACGTTATAAACGTACGTTTCAGGGTTTTGTCTATGTAATAGTCTTCTTTGTTGTTAACAGTTTTACTCGGTTACTTAGTTGCAACGGTATTGTAATTTTATGACGTAATTTAATTTTTTATTAAACAATGACGTTTTAAATAATATAAGCTCTATTATTTATAATTCTGACAAAGCACTGCAAATGTTACATTGCTCGAGTTTTACAATACAAAGCTCTTAAAAATTTTTACTTTCGAATCATCTAATACTAATACGGAGAGACGTCAAAACTTAGTCAAAAGCCGGATCAATATGGTAACCTTTCCGAGTACTTGTCTTGAGTATTTTGCAACCGAACCATATACAGGTTGGTCAACTGTTTCGTTCATATCCGGACATACTTGGGACTAGTGAACAGCTTGACGTGGGACAAAACTAAGCGTGAAATTTAGCTCATCAAATAGGGGACCATCTTCTGTACAAAGAAATGTGGCGATCTTTGTGATCAAATAAATTTGTACTATATAGTGATGCAAGGTTACGTCATTTTCAAACAGTCTTACAGAAAACCCGTTTAAATTTAGGTGTTCTTCTAATACGTATATATCATAACTGGTAAATAACATATCATATCATATAACCAATAATATCAAATGGGTGCAACTGTTCAAACATAATTACATATACATATACGCGTATAGTTCCAAGAAGTATTCAATGAAACGTGCATAGTTGTTTAGTTGATCTGTAGTCTACGTGTAGAATTGATAGAGAAAAAAAATTAGCATTATAATAAAAATTTTTTATGTAAGCGAGTATAAGTCATACCATACAAGCAAGTCCCTCTCTTCCGATTTCATTACTTTCCTTGCCTTCATCGCCTTCGTTAAGCCCTCCATCGGTTAATGCTTGCCCCACCGATTCATTCATACTGTCTGGCGAATTTTGGGCCCACGGCAACTCATATACGTCTTTAAAGAATTTCATTGGTTTATTTGAAGGCTCAAAGCTCTTCACTTTCATAATGTGACGACCACCGGTAAGGTCTGGTTTTTTGGAAAAAGTTGACAATTCAGTTATGTCACTGAAAGATGAAGAAATGGTATAATTAGTTCGTCAAACTTTAGCGTCCTAATGGTGTTCTAACTAGTCGTTGAACGATCAAATATACAACAAGACAAAACTATAAATTTGTTCTTCAACTTTTACACTTACGTTGTCTGTGCTGTTTGTTGAATAAAAGCATTTGACTGGGCGGGTTCAGTCATTTAACAGTGGTGTAATGTGAAGAATAAAAGCTTTTTTATGAGTTGGTGGGTGTCCGAATAATATAATCTTTGATACAGATTATAGACTAGCGAATATTGACTTGTTGTTTTTTACAGTCAAGAAAAGCTCACCCGTAATTGAAAAAAATGAAAAGATACACGATGCTTATATGTTAAGTGAGGGGTCGCTTATAAGTATAGCAGTAACGTATAAATACGATTAACTACACGCAATGCATAAGTATGCGTTATATTTCTCGTCATTTAATTGAAGCGAGGCGAATATTCTTTTCATACCTTTTTTTGGTGACATTTTGATTACAAATAAGTCGATTTAGCCATTGCACACCGATGTGCCACATTTAGTTAAATGGCCAGTTTGATTTGCTAAATTTAAAGTTCCATTGTGTTATTGTAAACCTCAATTGTTCAGGAACAAAGTTTCTTTTACCTCATAAAACTGTTGGGGATGGCGTAAACCAGACGGTTTATTTGCAATTCTCCCTAAACTTGTAATCATAGTACTATTTTGTATGCTAGGCGCTACGGATAAACCTTCGATTACCCCCCCTATCCATACCGGAAACAACGCTATTTGGTAACTTAATTGTTTTTTCACTGTATGCCAATACGTCAGTGTTGAAGAATTCACAAACGCCTTGAATCTAGTCCAGTTCTTCACATTGTCGTTTGTTTGATCGTGGACGCCCAACGTTCGACAAAGACTATCGGTCTACCAACATAGGGGTATATTGTAACAAATAAATCGTAATTCAAAGATTAACATAAACTGTTAAAAGGAAACAGCATTATTTCCGCCTTATCTAAAGAAACAAAGAAATGCGGGGTAGACAATGTGTATGAAATGCGGGGTAGACAATGTGTATTAGAAGAGAAATTGTGAGTTTAGAAACCGCAGTCTGTGAGCAACATACCTAGATAAGAACCCACGGGGGAAAAAAACTGATATAGAAGATTTTGGACGTCAATTTTGCAATTTCATGCTTGTCTAAAAATAAATTAATAAGAGGGACGTACAATATGTTGTTTGGAATCAGACAATATTTATGCATGACCGTGCGTCATTTCCAAGTTTAGGAAACGATGTCAATGGGATCCACGACCAAGCTTAAAGTATAAAATTATGTTGCTGGGTACGCTCGAAAAAGTCAATCAATTCTAACATATATGGTCAGATTATGATCGTCCAAGTATTTCAAGTTATCTGTAACAAGTGTAACTGTTGAGTTCAAGATTATCCGTACACGATAATCGGTATCGGCTGATGTGTTACCAAAGCAATCAAAGTGTACCACGTATTGGCTGCATTGGAAGACCGAGCTGAAAAAAATTTTCATTAGTGATCAATATGCCGATCATAACGACATTTCCCTACGTATAAATTAATCAAATGAATTACTAGGCAACAGACTCTTACAATGACGTTTAACAAACTTCATAGTTTATTACAAATTTACCGTGCTTTATTTATGTTGTAGTTAATAACAATTATGATTTATCGGCTCAAAGTTGGTAAAATGTGTTGAGTCATGAAGCAATTTAGAATGAGACAATTTTCTTTTATGCTTAAAAGTTGGAGTATGTAACAAGACTTTTGCTTTAAGATCAACGCTTGCCTTTTAGTTTAGGTTATCGGTGCTAGTTTAACAAAATTTTATGCCTGTTTGATGCTACACCAAATCTAACAATGATTACCGAAGTTCACTACTACACACTTGACAATACTGCCTTAAAGTAGTATAAAAACAAGGGATTGTGTAGATATAAATAAATTTTAGTTGACAATGCTAATACTGAGATAATAATAATATTATATTACACAAAATTAATCCGTAAGACAAATGACGGTGGCGACGTATAACTTCTGAACTTATTTAGATCAATGTGGCTTTCTTCGGTGAGAGAAAATCCGCAGATCCATCTCTTGTTGGCTTTCTTTGGAAAGTGTTATATATATGATTGACAATGAACATGATTTTCACATGAATGTGCGTTCAAAAACCATTGTCTTAATACTGAACAGTTAAATGGTAACTAGTAATAAGGAAAACTGATGGACGCTCAAGCTATTACTTATTTTTAGGTATTAGTTCGTTATGAGCAATTTTTCTAAATATAAAATAATTTAATTGTCATACTAATTCATACTATAACAATAACCCTATAAACTATACATTGTGCGTAAAGTATCGATTTTTCTTGATTCGAAACACAATTATTAGCGTAGTCTTGATCTCCACGTACATTTTCTATGGCACGCCGGAGCGGACAAAAGTCTGAATTTCAATTCACAAAAAAGCCTCAAACTATTCCATTTTTGTAATTGTTTGAGCCTCAAACAATTACACACGGATATTCCGTGGGTCCGTATCATTTCACCGAAAATCATTTCACCGACGTAATATTTCACCGACAACCATTTAGCCGAAAATCATTT